ACGTGTTTTTAGAAACTGTATTGGATGGTCTGCAGTAACCTCCTCGCCTGAATTTAATAGGGGATAGTCGAATAACGGCGTTTTACTATAACGTGGACAGCGAAACAGTATTTGGCAGCTTGTGGCTCTGCGACAAGGATAAAATTGTTTACAAAAAGAAGCAACAAAAGTGTTTTACTGCAATTTTTCACTACAAAACGACGTTGCTTCATAGTACTACCTTATCTTCAGTGCACTCATCATCATTGGAGAATGACAGACTTTGCTCCATAGTAAATTGTAGCACATTTTATTTGTCTGTAGAAAGAACACATGCGCAAGCCTTTTACTGTAATACTTTTAAATGAACAAGCCTCAGAAATCGGGCCAAAAGGATTAAGAAAAGAGACAAACATGGACGAGCCTGCTGATACCATTATGCATGCTGCTCTTTTGGGATCAACACACATTAGGGAGATTTAGCATGAGGACGTGAACGTCAAATACGACGTGAAAATGGCGAATAAATGGCGTGGCATGTCCATATGCGGGTGCATCACGCCATTTATTCGCCATTTTCGCGTCGTCTTTGACGTTCACGTCCTCATGCTAAATCTCTCTAATGTTAAACATTTGGAAAACGTGGCAAACTGGAGTAAAACGAATGAAAGTGGACAAACACTGCTAGAGATGGCGTTATCATACTATTTGATTTTTACCCGAGCCTGAATACACGTTTCGACGAACAAGTTAATCGTTTAATTTTACTTCAGAATTCAACGTTGAAAACTTGCCATATACATGTACATAGTACGCGAACTAATTCGTCGCGAATTACCTTTTATAGCCTATAAATTTGGTCAAGATCTATCTCATTGCAACCTGTAGCAGGACAGAGCATTTCATGCAGTATCTGATAAAACTCCATTAACTGAATTCATATTAGATACGGGAAACTGATCTTAGACAGGAAAATTGATGGTAACAACCCGCCGTCTATAAATATGAACAGGAATGGATAAGTTTATACGTGTGATGGGTCGGGTAATGCTAAAAAGGGTATCGTAATTATTACGATAAAATTTTGTTTGTTTTCTCTTAGCCTTGTTCCGTCCTTGACCGTGTTGATATTTCAGAAACTCGTCTGATTTATCCGTCCAAATACGAATTTAAAACGAGTTTCTCGTCCAGACAGGGTTCCCGTTCAACTTACACGTCTGTTTAGACAGGAAAGTTAGACGGGAAAGTTTGGACGAGAAACCCGTCTGTGACCGGATTCACATCAGACGAGTTTCCCGTCTTTGATGAGTTTCTCGTCTAAGACGAGTTTCCCGTCTCCAATATGAATAGTTCTTTCTTATAATGACGTCAACGCGCAATATCTGATGTTACACGAAATTTTATTGCCTCCACATCAGACTTTCCGCGTTGACGTCATTTTGAAAAAGGTCTATTCGGCTATTCAGAATCCAATGGGAATTGCAGGGTCGGTTTTTTTCGCGCTATATGACAGTCTACAATAACGGGAGCACAAGTCTCAAACTTGTGTTATAAACACTGAAGAATATTGTTGTGTATAGTTTGGCCTTATCTGGAAAGTCACAACTCACAAGCCTGCCCCTATAATCGGATAATCTCCAGCCCACTGTTTCGTTTATCGAGAGACAAGATTTTTTCAGATTTATAGGAAATGGGCCGAAATAGCTGCGACATTTCAAGTCATTTATCCATCCCGGCGTGAAGCGATATAAGCATCATGAATCTGCCATGTTTACATTTTAAAATATGTATCTTAATTATATGCATCTTTAGCAAAAGTATATGCGTTATTATTTCAAATGCAAATATATAGGATATTTCCAGCTGCAAGAAGATATGGATTATATAATCGAGGGGCAAAGGCATTCAAAGTCTTTACCTTATTGACATTAGATTCGGCACATGAATAGTGCGACGTCTGACACGGGCATAAGTGAATTTTTGACGTTCCAGACTAGGCAAATGTGAGGCCATTCTTTTAAAGACTTTAAAGTAGACAAAGATAATTTTTATTTTCGTATCCCTTTAAGCCTGTTCTCCACTAAGCGGAATTTCGCTCCGTCGCCCTTATAATTTAGTGGAAAACCGGCTTTAGAAACGGGAAACTCATTTCATTCGCCACTGATAATTGCCCACTGACACTGTCAGGCCGTGAAATTTGAGAATCGGGCTTATGAAACGTGATACGTCTCAAATTCCGTGTCCAGCGTAAAGTGTTATTTCAAGCAAGAAGCGTTTCCATCCAGAGAATTTGTTTCCAGGAAAATTCAATTGTCCGTAAGTTAATATATATACATACATTCTGCTAGCTAACATTCTAGCTGCCTGTTCGTCGACAAAAATATCGACATTGTTATTATTTTATTGTAGACTGCCTTGTCGCTATATAACTTATATTCTACTCTACTATATAGTTTACATGCACAATTACGAAAATAAAAGAGAAATATGGAGCATATCTGACTAATCCCAAAAGGCATTAACCATTGCTTCTATATTTTTGCAAACAAACTGACAGTGTAGACTCACAATTGTGACGAATTTATATAAATAATATAATTACATAAATTCGCCAATACCTGTTATGACTTTGTTATAATTTTGTAGAATTGTAGTGTACTAGTGAGGCTTGCCATCAGATATAACGTATTTGATGACCATTTTATGTGATTATGTCGTAGGTCGAGTATTAACATGAATCACGTGTGCAGAATTCAACTGCATGTCGTGTACTCGTGATTCTCTCTCTCTATATATATATATTAGTAACTGCGATATTATGCAAACATTGATATGGCTGAAATTCATTCAGATATGCATGCGTATATGGATCTCCTTACAATTTCTGTCAAAGCTACAAAGACAAGTTCAGAAGTCGAGATCATGATCGAATCAGATCGATATATCAGGGTTTTAGTTGGTCACTTAAGATGGTTTTTAGCAACAGAGAATGGCCCCTAAGGCTGGGATGAGGCAATTTTTACAGAGATTTGGGAAAGCGTTAAGCCTGATTTTCATATGTCGTCGACGGTCGGCGATGTATTGTTTGTGGTCGTTGACGAAGAAAATGCATACAAAATAGCAAAGCACTTTATTCTCCAGTGATCACAGACAATAGTCATCGCCGACCGTCGGTGACATATGAGAATCAGGCATTAGGCTGGCGGTTGATCGGCGTACAGTCATGCATGATGATTGAAGGCTGTAGCATGTATACTATGATAGTACTATAGCAGTATAGCTTCTTCAATTTGCGCCATCTTCGGCTTTATAATTTTGTTAGGACGAATGACTAAAGTTCTTACTTTCTTAATTTCTTCATTTCCTTTTTTGAATATAGAAATTATGCAAATAATACCTTTGGCAAATAATGCCTTAATGCAAATTGTTGGTCAACGTTAAAGCCTATTAAAAACGAGCAAGTCTTCTATGACAAGTTTTTATATGACAAGTTTTAATTGTTCGTCTGTACGCCCAACTTTGACAATTTTTTCTACGACAAGAACACTTGTTATCAAAGTTGGGCGTACAGACAAACCATTAAAACTTATCACATAAAAACTTGTCATAGAAGACTTGCTCGTCTGTAAGAAGCTTAACTTGGCTTAAGCCTGTTTTCCACTTCACCCGTATCGTAGCTAATGCCTAGTTTTTATTCAGTCGTTAGCTTTCGTTACATGTCTTTCCGTGTCTTTGGAATAATCGTGAAAGACCGATAACGACTGAGAGAAACAGAAAACGACAGTGTCGCTCGGATAGAACAAATCCTATCTCAACGACATAAAAAGACAGGAAACGACATGATTCTTCCCATAATTCGTTATCGGTCTTTCACGATTATTCCAAAGACACGGAAAGACATGTAACGACTAAATGGAAACTGGGCATAACCGTAGTTCTTTGTTTCAAAGTCATTAGTTCTATCTGAGTGCCCAGGCCTAGGAAAGAATGATATACATACACTACATGTCAGTACGGTGAAAACAGCCCCTAACACGCGGACGTCACATGGGATAAAGCGCGAATGCGGACGGACAAAAAAAAGATAAAATGCGGATTGCGGCCAAAAGAATAAAACGCGGATAAAAGAATAAAAACCATATTCGAACAGTGTGACAGTAGCGAAAATTATCTGAATAACACAAAAAATTCAGCAATTTAACCTCACAAAATCAGTAAACTGGAATTCAATATTATGTATTTTATGAGACATAAACTCTATAATATCCAGAATAACCCAAGATGGTATCGACAACATATCGAAGCAAAATACGGCTGTTTTAAACAAACACAGTTCTTGTTTACATAAACTCAATATATGCAGTTTAAACTTCACATTTGAGCTTCAAATTGACGTAGCAACATGATATGCAGTGGCGTAGCCAGCCTGACGATTTAGTCATGCTATGCAAATTTTATACGGAAATAAACATTTCCTTCTGTGTTTCTAATTTCGCCAAAGGGGTGTCGAAAGCTCCTACGCATTCTTGAAACGATTGTTAAATCGCGTGGAGGGAGAGAAATGTGTTCACCAGGTTTCAACTGTTTCGCACCAAGTGCAAAAGATAAAGTTCGAAAATTCCACTTGCCGGCGTTGGTATGAATGAAAGACTATTACCGAGTGGCATTGAAGATAGGGTGCCGATTCAATGACTGCAATGGATGCGACGGTTACTCTGGTCTTTTTATCGGAAATCTGCACTTTAGTATACTCCTTGTTCCTTTATCCGCATTTTATTATTTTTCTCCGCAATCGCATTTTATTATTTTTGTCCGCAACCGCATTTTATTCTTTTCGTCCCTCCGTTCGTCTGCATCCGCACTTTATCACAACCTCGTCGCATATATCATTCTTTCCTGGGCACTCAGATAGAACTAATGTCTTTGAAACAAAGGAATACGCTAAGCTTCGCTACAATATTGTTGCAATGGATAGAAGGCCTTATTCCGATTTCTCTTATAGCTTACGTATCTTACCAGCAATGACTAACCAGACAAACTTATCTTCCAACGAATCTCCCACTGCGTGAGTATATTTGATAATAGCTTAGCTATAAATGTCTGTAACTGCTTCAAGTGCTAACGTGTTTTTTTATTTCTAGTGTTGCATGTGATGTCGATGCAAGATATTATCCTCACCTGTTTTTGATTCCTGCTGTAAGTTTAAAGTGTTAAATCAAACAAGGTGGAATTTCGTTTTAAACTTAATCGACATATTTTCTTACATCTTTTAGCCAAAGCCTATCAGAATGCCTAAATTTTTAATACTTCATGTAAAATGGCAAATGATGTACCTTTTTATTGGAGCATTCTGATTGGGTTACTGAAAACGAAAACAAACTTGCTGATTGGTCTAAAACGAAATTCCCCCTGTTGTTACATCATTTTATTTTTTACAACATATTTACTGTTTTAAAGTCTTAATTATGCATTTTGTATATTTAAATCTGGAATGCAACTTCAATGAGAATACACATGCACCTCTGATTTGCCGATTCTTTCTATATAGCCACAGTTATAAAAGTTAACAACGTGTACCTTTTTATACATTTGCAAGACTAATATTTCTGGTAGAGTCCATAATCACAATATTTTTCCAAGGGAATTGTTATTGCATGTCGGGTTGAAGATGATGTATAACGAGTGATGGAACTCATCATGTGATCGTGAAACGTACAATCTCTTCCAGGCAATAATTCTCACGATACTGTCATTTCTGCGACGAAGAAAGAGTTTCAAGAAAGACGTTTGGGGAGGTCGACTAGGACTTGTTGTGTAAGTTCATGTGCATGGATTAATTACACAATATGCTTTTTATGAATAGATCACCCCGGGTCTGTCATCTGCTCGAAATGGAACTTCCTCGAGAGTACGACTTTCATGTTAGAAATCTACCGAGCCGAGTTTACGTAACACACAACGTCTAGATCCAACTCTATTTTTCAACATTTTACGTTTGGTATTTATAATATCGTGCTATAGAAAGCGTACTCTTCCTTTAATTATCCACACTGTTATATTTATATTTTATCGACTGTTATATTTATATAATCTCGGAAGCAATTGCAATTGCGCATCCGCGGCAACTTGCTGTTCCTTATTCCATTAGGATTACTCGATATTTGCATTTCATCAATTATCCGTTATAGAAGTAAAATGAGCAAAAATCTTTACTTTGTAGAAACGACCATTATCGGCTGTATTTTTGCAGTAATTACTTTCCCACGGGGTACATAGCGTGTTTATTAAATCCTGAACAATATTCCACCGTATTTAGCCCAGTAGATTTCCTTGGTATTGATCATGACCGTCTTGCCACCATGTTTGTGTTTGGAGCTGCTACTGGATCAATCGTCACTCTAGTTTTAGGAGGAGGGATCGAAGGCAGCAATGCTTGGGGGAAAGGTAATGAAAATGTAATGTATTCAATAAAAAATGGACCTGCGCATCCCCCCGCCACACAATTTCGTTTGTCTGCCCCCCTGAAATCTTTTCAAGTTAGGTAAGTAGTTTATAGTTACAGGATATGTTCGCTTCAATTTTGCCTCCTAAAAACATCCATTTCAGCCCCAACTGCCCCTCCTTATTTATTTTAACCTGGCGCCGCACTAGTTGTTGTGAATATTTCTTTATAGCGTTTCTCATCGTTGGCATTGCAATTGAAATTGCTTTCATTTATTATCCCTACTTCGCTTGCCTGACGTCTTATCATAGAATTGTTGGGGCAATGATGGGCCTTCCTTATAGTGTGAGCTAGTAAGTAAGCTCAATTGACGGTTATTGTTCAAACCAGATTCGATCCACTGGGCACGACCATTCCTACTCTTTTTACCCATGAGGTCTACATTTGATGTAATATCGTTAAACTTTATCCAGTCCTATAATGAATAATTATATGTCGAGATTGAGCGTGATATTAATAATGGCCCAATTTATACGAAAGACGGATGATCCGTCTGGACGTATGATCCGTCTGGACGTATGATCCGTTTGACAAATCATTCATCTGAGTATAAACACAAGACAAACTATCTAGACGAATATTTCAGACGAAACACTGAGAATCGCGCGTTTAGTAATTACACACGAAATGGGAACGAATGTGCATGGCAAAAGAATCCCAATTTAAAATGACGGCAAAAATGTAATTAGTGAAGCAATTATCTGGTAAAAGAAAATTCATTAAAAAAAAATATTTATTAGAGTGCACAAGCGCCGTTTTATGACAAAATTTTCCGTAGCTCGTCTCCACCTCGTATTAATTTTATACCAACAGAGGGATGTTACCCAATGAAATTCGTTGACGTAATAATTACAAATAGAGTTTGTAGGTGAATTTGTAGATGACGAACAATGCATAACGGAGATTGTATATAAATTATATGGTGAAAAATAATCAGTTTTTTTTGTTTTTCACTCCAGTTTTTGTGTTCTATTAACGAACGCTTTTCAGAAGTGTAAAGTAAGTTCATATGTGTGATTTTTGTTTTGTACACGAATGTACTTCCCCCTCGAGAAAATTTGGGTGCGTAGAAAGAGTAGGTAATATCAGTAACCCAAAACAACAAAGCTCTTAACTGTATTAACGTCGCGGTTAACAACAATCTGAAAAAAATATTTATAGTTTAAAGAGAACGTTTATAACTAGCTTTTTACAAACCGCCCAAAGAGACTACCATATATAAAAACAGCCAAAATATGCGTGGTAATTTCAACCCGAAAAAAATTACACGTTGAAATATCTATATTGGACAAATTGACGAAAATCTTGCAAATTTGGGCTGCGTGTAAGACAACTGACAAGACTTTGCTTCCTAATCGCCCGTTCACATTTTTCGCTATTATTCCTGCGATTTAGATGCGATTTCGGTCTTTAGATTGTTGTAAACGAGGAAACAGTTATCATTGTTTAGAAAAAACTTGAAGATTTTTAAATATCTAGAAAAGTATTATTTTGCTTAAAATGAGGCTCTTACTTAATGTTTTGAGATATAATTTGATAAAATAATAGTTTTCTGGACATTTTAAAATATCCTAGTTTTTTTCTAATACATCATGTATTAGAAATGTCAGGGCTCAGTTGAAGCTTGCATGAAGTCACACATCGGTAACTTATCCACTCTTTCACATCTATCGAAAGAAGAAATAGCGTCAAAGAAGAAGAAAAGAAGAAATTTCAGCAAAATGTGCAAATTGCCCTCAACTTTTTTCCTTCACTTTAACTTCAGTAACCGAATTTCTCCATAGCTTTATAGGCTTACCGGCGTTTGACATCATGTTTTTGCTCATCAATTCTTAGAACAAATCCGCGTCCGGCCACGCTGTACTCGTTTTGATGAATTTGCCAATATTAATATGTTATGTTTTCATCATTGGCAAGTTCATATTCGTATTTTATCGAGAAATTCGAGAATATGGAATCTTCGGAGTGAAGTTATTTTCCCGTGATGTAAGTTGGTTGGTTATTATACAGCAGAGCCAGTTTAGTTTGAAATATAACTCTCTTATATAAGACTGCAACTATAGTAAATTTTATTACATTTTTGGAATTTGACAGGGTTCAAATTTCTGAATTTCTAGGGCGTTCATAAGCCCTAGCAATCCAAAATTGCTCCGCAGTCCCTGAATCCAAAAGAGTAGTGTTTTTTATCCACAAGCATTAAGCATTTGAAAATTGAAATAAACGCGGAAATTTTTTATAGCAAACATCTTCAGTGCGAATGAATTAGTTATTTACATTGTGAAAATGTAAAGAACTGATTCATAATGTAAATAACCAATTCATTCGCACTGAAGATGGGTTATAGCTAAGTCGAAACATGTTTGCTATACAAAATATTTGAATTATTATTTCAAATGATTAATTGCTCTTGTCCAAATTAGATAATATCTTCTTTTTTCACAATTTGAAAAAATAAAAGGCATCAAGTTACAAAAGTTAAATCATGCCAACTTTAGCTTACTTAAATTTCAACTCCTGCTAATTAATTATTTATCAGTCACTGTAATAATGCCTATTCTGTACTTTTAGGATGAGAGTTCCTCTTCGCAAATGAAATTGGTCAGACCTTGGTTGAAAAATCACGTGAAAAACATTTTCCAACCGAAGTAAGAACATGCGTAATAAAATTGGCGCATATAGGTTTGTTCTGTAACCAAACAGCTTTGTCAACAAAATGTATATTTTGTTTTTTACATTTTTTTATTTTAATGTGTGCCCTCGCGTTCCGGCCGTTCCCAAATGTATCCTCGATGCCCCTTCTAGTGTAGTTATATTGTAAACACTTCTAATTCAATCCTTAATTCTTTCCCTTTTGCACATTAACTGCCTTTCTGAAAAATAACTTGAATTTTTTAGGTAAACATTTTCCGCGTTGGCCGGTGTTTTAATGTTCAGATATCAGATCAAAGTCAAAACAATCTAACTGGTGGTAGCTAATTCAGTACTTTAACTCGTTTTGTAGACCACCTCGCCAGTTTTCAAGAACTCAGTTTTACCTGAGGAAAATTTACAATCCCGAGGAAGGTAAATCACCTTGTGGGAAGGGCTTTGAACAACAGGGAAATAGAGGGGTAAACAAAAGATTATGCAATGAAACATAATTGCTATATTTAGAAATATTTCTATATACTATATAGTTAGAAATCTTTCTAAACACTCACGTTCCTTGTTAGCAACCTCTTGCCGAAATTTAATGAGCAAAAATTGAATACTCTCCGAAGACATTTCTTCGAAACATGTATCTAAATCTTCAAGCCCACTTAAATATAAGGAGAAGGAATTACTTTCACACATAGGTTATTGGTTTTCACGTTTACGCTGTCATGCGTTAAAAATATTAACAACATTAATTTTTGTACACAGTACTTTTTGGTTCCGAAGATAGTGGTTCTTCAAAGGGATAAATTATTTCTGTTTTGTTGAAAAGGAAACTTACACTTCTTATCTTCCTTGCTTTGCAAGATCGCAAGATATTGGCGATCAAAAACATCGGCTATCAAGATTAATCCGCCATCTCATTACATGTCGTCAAAAATTAGGTTGAAGCTTAAAAAATAACTACATGCCTTTTGACGCTACCCCCTGCCACTGAAATAAGTTATACGCCCTGGCACTTTGTACAGAAAACTTTTGGTTTTAAATTTTAGATTTTAAGTTTTCGACTGAAACTCTCTCTGTGATGATGATCTGTGGCATTCTGCTTTACGATGTGAGTCCTCTTTTGTCTAAAATAACCTATATACGGCAGTTTTTATTTACCATGCAAGATGTTTAAACAAAACGTTTATATATATTTTGTTGATGTATTTCAACCATTTGGATCAATTTCTTTAATTTTTTTAGATTTTGGGAAGTGTATAATTACATAATTATTTCTTCTTATCCCTAGGGTCCGCGCAAGTGCGTTAACTAGGGAGGGGGGGGGGTATTTATATATATACGTTCAGCATTACTAGTTTCTTTTAAAATTGATTATTTTAACGATCTATACTGTTTTGTATATATGAATATTTGCTCCCCCTAACGATCTTCCGTCTTACCCTTTTCTTACATGTTCAAGATCTTCATCGAAGCTTTAATTTTGACCAGTATGATACCAAAAAAACTCAACTTCCCCATTCCCTGGTTTTTGGAGCTTGTCCGTGGGATGTTCGGTGAGTTTTGTTATTGCTATAATAGGGACCTTAAGCATGTAGAACGGGATCACGACGACGACGTGGCTAAAACACACGTTATGTATGGTAAAGAGTTGTGCTAATTGTATACTATCAATCGTATCAATTTAATGATCTGGTAAAGGTCGTTGAAAACATGTTTGGGAACAATGCTATAGACCCTAATTGGAGGTAGCGCTCGCTTCGTCCTAAAATGCTGACATTCGTTGTAAACAAAACGTAGACCACGTGTGAAACTCCCATTTTTTCAATCAGCAATTGTATTTCTAGACGCCGGCGTCGTGTTCCTGTCCTGCATGATTAAGAGTCCTAATACAACCGTAAATCCTGCGACAGCTAGACAAGCTTTTTATGAGTATAGCTTCATTTGCTAGTGTATGTTGGCTACATAAAACTTTAGCCCTTCTTTTAACGACAAAACGTTTTTAGAACATAGAAAGCATTTATGACCTTTATGGGGGAAGAGGGGGGGGGGCTGTACTGGATAATGAATGTACATTTTGACTAGAATTATAATGCATGCAGTCAGCGAATGGGCGTTTATCAAAATGAATCGACGTTCTTTGATGGTAGAAATAAAAAAATGTTAAACCTGTAATGATAAACGTCCAACCCTTTTGATCATTTTTCTTTTCATTTTTTCTAATCATTCATTCCGGTAAGATTTCACATGAATCCGCAGTTTTTTTTGTAGAAACTTGTAGTAACTTGCGGTTTGCCGTCGAAACCGAAAAATAGAAAAAATTAGCAAACACGACGTGACGCCTAGGACGTCATCCATGCATCTATAACTACGCCATATCTGCGCCATTTTCACGGCCCTTAGGCATCACGTCGTGTTGGCTAAATTTCGCTAATAAAAGATTCATGCCTTCAACCAACCAACCAGCCTGTCTAGCTTTAGTCCTTTAGATCTTTGCATATAATATAATTTATTTCACATGTTTATTTTAGGTTCACTTTTGGCTGCTGTGGTTCTTGCAACAATAACCAGTGCGCTCTCCCTCGTTCGTTTCTTGGAAAATCATAAGTATGTGAATGTATCAATATTAGTTTAAAATTAGATTAATATAGTAATGT